GGTTCTAGTATTTTTTATGGTTCGACGTGATATGTGGAGCGAAGCTTAGGGGCAGTCATCGTCTTTCAAGACAGGCCTAGGATCCGTCTGTTCCCTCCCTGTGTATAAAAAGCTTCACTTTATATATTTTACCTTTAAGAACGGGTTACCAAACTATTATTGTCCTTTAGCAAGAAGAGAAAGATCCGACACGCTTTCTAAAACCTCCGAGCTATTCATAGGATGAGAAATGGTCGGCGTGTATCCTTATCCCTTTTAAATCTATATAATTCGTATAACATCTAGTTATTCACATATCAATTATATTTTTTTTCTCAGCATAAAACACAAGCAGAGACTCGCGTACTTAAAAAAGAAGAAATCCGCGATTATATCCAGTCATATTGGGTTTCTGAGGACTTCGATCCCAACGATCTTAAATCTACCTATATATCGCAACCATTCACGTTGTTTAGCCCAAGGTCTACATTCGTCGAAAAACTTTTGGAAGATAGATTTCGAAAGCATATTACCAAAACAAATTCAACAGATTTAATCTCCAATGATAATAAAGAATTTTCAATACCTGCTCAATATTTAGACTTGTTGGAGTTTGAGATTTTTCACGTTAGAGATCCTTTAGATTTAACCTCTTCAAAATTATGGGAAAGGTTCGGACAGTGGGCAGGTTTTGAAAAAACAAAGAAATTTCGACATCATTGCCGTCGCCTGTGGAAAAAAACAAAACATGCGTACGAACTGCATATAGAATCCTTAAAAAATCCGATGGAACTTTATGATACCCCGAATGTGTTCTTACGCCATCCGAACGATAAACTTTTTATTGCGGATGAAACAACTAAGAAGGTCGCGGGTGATGTCCTTCTAGATGGTTACAAGTACGTTTCTAAACCTTGGTGTTTTAAGAATGCAATTGGTGAAACGATGATAGATTTCTTCGACCTTGATCTCAACAACTACTTGATCATAAAGATTGCACGAGTGGTAGACCAATATTACAAACACAACCTTAGTGAGCCTTCTCATCGATCTAACCAATTCATCAAAGATTTAATAGAACATTTCGGTTGTTTTACTGATAATAACAATCTACCATATATTACCTCGAATACTGCTTCTACACATTCTCAGGAGCATCGTAAGTGTGTTCAGGATTTGATCCGAGGACTTCAGCCACTTTCCGACGCTGTAAACGATTATCTTAACAACGCATATCCGGCATTATACACTAAAATGGAAAAACTCAACCTAGGTCCTAACGCCCCTAAATCTTTTGGAGTCTTCCCCACTATTAGTATTAACTTTAATAGCATCTGCCAATTTCATCGAGATCTGAAAGACCATCGTAATACACTCTGTATTGTATGTCCTCTCGGAATGTTTGAGGGTGGGCATCTAGCATTTCCTGAACTAAAGTTGGCAGTTATGGCGAAGCAAGGACAGGCGATCGCTTTTCGGTCGCACCTCTTAGTTCACGGAAACCTTCCAATAATAACTGGGTCGAGGCATAGCGTTGTCTTCTATATTCATGACACTGTTATAAAACAAAAACGGAAATTTAGTTCTCTTTTCGATGGAGATTTAGTCGCACCGGAGATTCTAGACAACACTCACTCGATCGAGGATGGCGTTAAAAAACATGACAAGAAACTGCAGAAATACTCCCCTCCTAAATTAGCTCCTCGAAATTCCTCAAAATTGAAAAATCATCGGCGGAGCCATCTTGGTAAGGGCATATATCATTGGCGTGAAGTGTCTATATTATATTGTATTAGCACCTTGTGCTTGCTTCGCTAATATAGGCTCTTTATTAAAGATCTGGAACCAGCGAGGCAAGGACTACCAGCGCAGTATAAGAAATAACGTTTTCATGATAAAGAGCTGGTTATAAATGCTCATCTCGATGGGTTTAAAATACGATTTATTTTTCCATAGCATAGCCACTATGTGACTGCCTCTCGGCAACGTAATCTTCATACATTGTAAATATATTACACTTAATAACTTCTGAAAATTCGTATACATAATCGCATTTACTCTTTACATATGTTATTTTGGGATTTTATTTCAATGTATATACACTCACCGGAAAAAAGTATCTTATATAAAAATTATTACCAAACATGTCATCGGAGCTTGAATTATTGAGACAACGAGTTACCAAGCTTGAGGTTGAAAATACCAAATTAAAACAGATCATAGAAGAAATAGCTAATCTTAGGATCGAAAATACAAGACTAAAACCCGGATATTTTCAAAAAACGATGTAATATATCTATAAAAAAGAAAAAAAAAGCTATTCATAATTATTCCTCAGATGAGGACGAAGATGATGGATTTCGTAAGATTAATCTGGTATTTACTACCACTTGTACAGTAAATACCATCCGGAGTATATATGATAAAGTACACTCCGTGCCCGTAGTCACGATACCATAAATATAGTCAAAATAGTCGTTTCCAAATGCTTGATCCGCAGTCCGTTTCTTTTTATTTGTCTGAAATGCGCTTTCAAGCTGTGCTAGATTCTAAGCGATATAATACACCACTTTTTTAGTCTTCTTATTTCGAAGCCAATAGACTGATAAGACAAACAGACTTACTGATCTTAATATTGCAAGGTTTTCCTTCAGTGATACAGAGGAGCTCTTCTAGACTTTTGATTACGTAGTCTATTATTTTTATCAAGAGATCATTAAGTTTTAAAAGATAATCATCACTAAGTTTGAAAAGTTAATTATTGTGACAGATTAAAATGAAATCAGATTAAAATGAAATGGGGTCCCCTTTTTATCACGGGTTTAATCCGA